GGGGGGGGGGAGGGGGGTGGAAATGGTAGGCGAGGCGTGAGCACGCGGCGTGTTTTCATCGTACTCGACGGTCTGGCTGTTGGTGTGCGTTTTGGTTTTGGGGGTTGAACCTGGCGAACTGCTGTCAGTAGTCGGGGCCGCACACTACCCCTCGGGTAAAGGTCAGGGAGGGGTGTCGAGTCGGCGATATGCCACCGCGGATCCCCCGGTTGAGGTTGTGAGCGTTTCGCTCTCTCTGTCTCTCTCGTTCCTGCGACAGTTTTATTCCCTCTCTCGCCATCTACTGTACGGGCGCGCGCGCACACACACACACACACAAATTAGTCGCGTGGGGGAGGAGATAGAATAGCTGCACGGAGGGCATTCAGTGGCGCTTACACCTGGCTTGCTCCAATCTGCGCGCATTGCTTCCGGGCCCAGACCCAGAAAACGTTTTGCTCTTGAGCGGCTGCCGTGATGAACCAATCTCCTGACCGAAAGCACCCCCTTTTTACCCGATCGACCAACACAACAAAATATCAGTTTCTACCTGCCAAGGACACCAAGCCGTCGTCGCTGTACTACAAGACCGAGACCAGCGCTGCCGGCGCATCGTACTACAAGGCCGGAGCCATGGCCGCCGCGCATGCAGCAGTCGCCGCCGCCGCCGCCGCCGCCGCGAAGCTTAAGGCCAAGGCCAAGCCCCCGTGCGCTGCCGGAGTAAAGGCCAGCAGCACCGCTACTACCCCCGCCTCCACGCCCGCTACCCCGGCCGCCGCTGCCGCTGCAACCCGGGCCCCTGCCCCCGCCCCTGCCCCCCCCCCCCCCCCCCCCCCCCCCCCCCCCCCCCCCCCCCCNCCGCCCCCGCCCCCGCCGCTTCCGCCGGCGTTCTGGGCAAAAAGCGGGTCAGGATCCAGGTGGACAGCTACTCGCCGTCGCCCCCCGCTGTTTCCCCGGCGCCTAAGGCGGCGGGCGTGAGTTCTACGAAAGGGAAGGGGAGGGCAGCGGCGGTGGTCGAGTCACGGAGCCCCGATGAGAGAGGGAGGGGCAAGGCCGGCGGCCGTGGGGTGAGCGTCAAGGCAGAGGCCGGGCGCCCCAAGAAGCGGGGGCGTTCTGCTGCAGGGGGGCCGACGGGAGGGGGGGTGGGGGTCAAGGCGGAGGCGGCGGAGGCGGAATCCGCCACCCCTACCGGCGGAGGGGCGCTGTCGAGAGAGTCGTCCCCCCTGGATGCGGGAGAGGTAGGTGATTGTTTCTGTTGTTGTTGTTGTTGTGGTGATGGTGGTGGTCTATGGTTGTGGAGTGTCTTGTGCGAGTAGCCTCTTTTGTCGTGCTGCTCCCGGTAGGCGTCGCCACGGTTGTGCGGCACATTGTTGAAGCGGTCATGACTTTCCGATGGCGCGGGAAGGAGGGGAGAGGAAGGGGGGGGGGGGGGGGGGG